TTCTTTTTTATTATATAATAAAATAATAATTAAATATTATATGGTGAACAACAATAAGTAAAATTGTTACTTTCTCTTATATCAAGAGATAAATTTATATGCTAAAATTAAATTTTTATTAGTATAAATGTTTTAGTGAGATAATATATTAATCATTTTACAAGCTAGCCCTAACATGCTCATATTTAATGTTTTAAAAGATGTAGAAAAAAACTTATAATAACTCTATTATCTTTTAGACTTAAACGTTGATTAAAAGAGGTAAAAATTCCTAATTTTTTAGACTTAAATGTTGATTAACACCATAGATTGAGAAATTATATTTAGTAAAATTTCTAATTGTAATAAAAAAATTAATTTTTGCTATATTTTAGAATATCTTTATATTCATTATAAAAAAAAAAAAGAAAAGAAACTACAATGAAAAAAGCAAGTCAGCTATATATCAATTTGTTGTACTCCTCAAATCACATTCACAATTTGGCTACAAGGAAAGAAAACTCATTGATTAAAATATTATTTTGTCAGTAGTCTTAATGTACAAGAGACTTTAAGACTCCACTTGAACTTTTATTAAATATTGCATCTTATAATATAATATTCTCCAAATAAATATAATCAATGCTTCGCAGGGTCACGTACTATATATATCACGTACATTTTTCTTTATTCATGTATATAATTATAAGCCTGGATAAATAGCTTTAAAATTGTGCACCCCGTGCATCGCACGGGCTCTGTACTAGTTCGCACTTATAGGGAGTCCAAAACCAATATCCTATCAATTTATTCTTCTTTTTGCAAATTACTTATCCCCAATTTTAATTCTTTGCATTTACATCTTCAATTTTCTTCCGCACACAAAATACCCAAGCAAGCAAAGAAATGGTGAAAAGAAATCTCCCTCAGATCATGTTCTTGTTGAGGAGCAATGTGAGTCCCGCGACTAACTGGTTTTCTAACCAAAAAATAAAATANAAAAACGCCAAAAAAAAAAAAAAAATTGGTCAATTCCACTTATAAGACTTTAGAACAATTAGAAAATTACAAAAACGAAAGGATTCAGTTTGAAGAACAAAGGACGATTAATCAAGTCCGACAATGGGTTTTCCAACAAGCCTTACAAGGAGTAATTCAAATAATTTTTATTTTTTTCTAAAAAATAAAAATAGAAAAAAAGAACTCTAGTTTTCAATCAATTTAGTTTTTTTTACCTATTTTATTTCAAAATACAGAAAAAATAACCGATTCCAAAAATTTATCAGATTTACGAAGTCGAATGTATTAATTATTTGATTAGTTCAGTTAGGGAAAATCCTACATAGCGTGATTGGGGTATGTAATCCCATTCGCTCCCCTAGCTATCATCTCTTAGTGTCAGTGTCAGCCCAGCAGAGCGCTTTTGCTCTTGGTGTTCTTTCCGATCTCTATGTATTATTTGCTCATTATCAGGCAATCACTGATTCACAAACTTGGTGTGGGACTACTCCTCACGAAAGACGGCATGACCTGATACGTGGGAGCGATGTGGCAGCTGTAATGAAAAGATCTTTTGAGAGCGCGACTACATCTCTGATGACGACGCTACTGACGGAGGCAGACGATAGGTTAAGGGTTTGCGAACAATACCGACGATCGACTGGAATCCAACTCAACAAGGAGTAATGTGAGACGAACAACTAGCGGCGGTATGAACAGAGGCGTGGGAGCGGCATGACGACTGGAACAACGAGTTCTATCAAGTGACGCGACGACACGGTTGATGTACGACCATTGATGAAGCCGTGACTTAAAAAACTAAAAGAGTGATCATAGAGCGTCGCCGTGCTTGTTACGTGGTATGAAGGGGGAACTAAAGATATTTTTATTTATGGTTTGAGTATGGTGTAATGAATTTATTTTTCATGATTTTATTGTAGTTAGTATTCAATATATATATATCTCTACTATATATATATGAAGAAGTTAGTGGCCTTCAAATGATGACAAATGGCTTATTGTATGAGCGACACGTTAGCATTAGTGAATTACCATTTCTACTACCATTGGCCTTCTAAACTACGTCGTATGGTNGTTTTTGGGGCGTATATTATCAGCCTTTTGGTCCAATACGCAACAATAAATTAGATGGTAAGTAAATGTCAGCTTTTGCCGACACTCGCACGTCTTCCTCTTAAAAAGCCCAAAATTAAGGAATACCACTCCTTTTCCATTTGCCAAACTCATTTGACTGAAGAAAATTTTTTCCTCTCACGTTCCTCCTCATTTCTCCTCCTCCTCCAACCCTAATCACCCAATATCACATTTTCTTCTTCCCCTCGCTACTGACACCATAATCACCCTCTCCACTCACTTTCTGAAAATCCTAATCGCCCAAAACCTCTAGCACTACACCATCCTCCGTCGTAGCCACAAGCCCCTGTACCACGCCAACATCCATCTAAGCTGGAAATGGCTCGAAACTCACCGGCGGAGGAGTTCTCGCTGAATCAAATTATGGTGCATTTTTTTGGGAATTTATTCGTAATTACTCGACTTGCTTTTAGTTTGTCATGATATTTACATTATTAACTTCATTTTTTAGCTCGAAGAGGGTTTTCCTTTGTGGACGTCGGCCTCCGGACCTCCGGTGAGTGGGATCGCGATGGAATTTCCAGCGAGCGAAGGGGCTTTGTCCTGCTTGCCGCAGACCATATCCAAGCCAAACTCCATGAGGTTGATCTTAGACGCCAGGTATTTTTATTTTTTAATATTACTATTTACTGGTGAAGTTGCGTAAACCATCAGTGGTTGCTAGATGAACATGTTGAAATTGGGGAAATAGTTAATGGGTTTTGTACAAATTTGATTTAGAGCTCATGCTTTGAACTGGTTTTTGTATTTGATTGAGATCATGTGTGATGTATATTTGTTGAATTCCAAAGATAATCTTTTGGTCGGATTAGATCAACTTGTTTTTTGCCTAATATACTCTTTGAATATTATAAATTATTGGCCAATAAAGGTTAACATGGAATCAGATTACAGGTTCAAATTACTTTCACCTCTGTTAAAGCTTTTCGGATGAAGTCTGAGATGACGTTTCTGTGGATAAATGGAAGACATATATATTAGTAGATTCTGGAGAACTATGAGAGTGCAATTTATAGCATCTGCATAGATTTTTTAGCTTTCGATTCATTCGTAGGATAGGCGCCCTTCTCCTCCAGAAAGATTACTTTCATTTAAAATTTATGTGTTGTCAAATTTATTTGTTTCTTTAGTCTCTTTTGAGTGTTGTGTCTCTGCCATTGATTGTAGTTTTGATCCCGTCAAAGAGACGTAGTCTAGCAATTGAGTTGTTTCATATTCATTGTTCTATCGTCTTTTTAAAATGGTACTAATTTAGAATGTTTTGACTTCGTGGTTCATATTACTGTTGTTCATAAGTTGGCAAACCAGGTACAGGTGAGCAAGTAGTGGATGTTAACCTGAATTTGCGTTGAGTACTGTCCTCTCCTTAGTGTGAGAGTATTATGTTTCCTTTTCTTTTAATGTTATTTGTGCCGAATGATTGATGAAACCATATACTAATACCGGTGTTCATTGTTCTGTTTGTCATCCTTGTTGGACCATTTAAGGTCGTCATATCAAACTGGACTCCCTTCGCTCCAAATGGAGTAAAGTCGTCAATATTGACTATGGCAACAGTCGCCTTCTTATCATACGTTGGATTCGACCTTTCCTTTCTTTTTTTACCCCTTTTTTGCCCCTTCTAAAGATATGCAACTTTTACTTTAAGATCCTACATCTGCAACTCGATTTTTCAGAGGGACTTACCTTTGGGCATAATTGGTAGTTTGAATGTGTATGGCAGTGTACATTGGGGTCTGCTTGGTAATTACTGGGATGGTACCGTACTAATATCTTGAGGAAGATGCTCCTCTACTTGAGGCTTTCACTTCCAGGGGCTTGGAATACGTATATGTCTTAATCAGTTTTGGTGTCGTTGCGCGACTCACAACCACTCTTAGTTGGGCTTAATGTGCAGTGAAGTGAATTTTTCTTTTTTCTTAAAATTTTATGAAGTGGCTTATTTGGCCAATAGTCAACAACTAACTTTTTTTTTTTTCAGTTTCGGCTGTACCTTGGGATTGGTGGGGAATGGTCTGTTACCAGCCATATTTGCTAGAGTACACCCAAAACGGCAAGCCCCAGTTCATTATCAAGTTTGGGTTGGTCTTGTTACCGACATCACGGCTGTTTAATGTGCGAAACCTATCACATATTCTCTCTGTTGGAACATTGGTATGTTGTTTCCAGACATCTATTTCTATTTATGCTTAAAACCAAAAGTTACCCCCTGAGGTTGCTAGCCCAATTGCCAAATGAAAAGAAAATAAATGAACCAAACTATCTTTTGATATTACATATATCTTAGGCATGTTTTTCTTAACAAGAGAATAGGGTATCTGTTTAGTAAATACAAATCTCAAGTGATTTACCCTCGATGGTAGTATTTTTGTTTGTCTTATTAGTCTCCACCTCCATTTATTGTGTTGATTGTCTGAATGTGACGGTATTTGTTTCGATTGGCTACTCAGTTGTCTAAGCATGTGTAGTTAGCTTCCGATGAAAGGATAAGGCTCCTAGCCGGGCTTCTACATGTAGCATTTCCAAAAGGGTAGAAGGCATTATGTCTTTTTTTTTCCCCACATAATAGTAAACTCAAACCAATGTGCACAAGGGATATCAACTGATACCAACACTCTCCTATCTAACCCTAGCGCTAGACAGTCAAGGTACGAGGGCCACACCAAATGGAACCCCTTTAAAGACCAACATGGTCACTAACAACTAGAACCAAATCACCAAACTGAAAATACACAAGAGTCAAAAGAAGACATTACATCCTGAAAGTCAACATGTCTTCTTGCTATTGCCTTTTGTGGTTTTGCAGTCGGAGTCCTGTTCGATTATGATGTTTCCTTTGTTTATATGTTTTTAGCTACTGCGATTGCAATATTTTCGCCTGCAACTCTTTATCTTCGACAAGTCAATCCACGCATTTGTTGCAACATTTGTAAATTTGTATTACGTGGTGTCTTATACACACACACACATATTAGTACAATCCTTAATTATTTAATTATCATATTTTTGCTGCTCACAATGGCAATCAATATTGTACAGTAGCTAACTAAAAAGTCTATTTCTTTTTCCAGGTTTATGCAACCCATTGAACAATCTATATACGTACAACACACACAAAGAAATTGGTAAGAGGAAAAAGTTACCCATGGAACAATGTATTATGTATATACGTATAATTTATTTATAGAACATACAACTTTTCTTAAAAACAAAACAAAATTAAAGCCAGTACAGTGATTGGAAGTTCGATGCAATTGACTCGACTAAAAGGAGAGCAAAGTGAGACTCTATGAACGAAGCGAAGCGAAGTGAAGTCATATAATGTTTTAGAGAATAAGAAATTGATCTCACTTTGAAAATTGAGGGCTCAATATTTTGGTTTTTTGTGTTCCATAAAATTAATAAGACTTCATGATATTTTTGTTTATTTTATGATTTTTATTTACAAATTCTGAATAACTTGCGATTCTAATTCATTATGGTCGAATAATTTGAACTTTTAGATGTTTGTTAAAATTTTTTACTAATTGATTGACACTGCTGAAAACTCATTTTGGATGCACCAATTTGATATTTGTCTATATAATGTGTTTAGGTGTTCAAAGGTCTGAAGCAGTGGCCATAGTGATATATTCTCTGTGTATGTGCATGCGTACAAGGATAAGCGTGTACCTTTTTGCCGTTAATTTCAATAATCAGGAGATTCGTAGCAGCAAGGTTTTTTCTCCAAATCTCTACTTCAATTTTGTAGCCAGACAACAAAAAATATAATTTTTGTTTGTGCTTAATAGTTTTTGTTGATTTTAAGAATTATGTATTCTTATCCAGGCCTATCTTGAAGTGGGTCATTTTCTGTATATCTGTTTTACTTCACAAGTAGCTACTAGCCTACACGTGGGTAAAATAAATTTGCACAAGAAATATAAAACTATGACTGAGAAAGCTGATAGTTCGGTTCTATTTTTTAAACTAATGTTACATGATATGTTTGACATGTTGGCTGTGAAACAAAATTCGCTATTCAATTAAGATTTTATTTTTTCAAAACATTTATGTAAATATGCAGAGCTTGTTATAGTATGTTGAACTTCAATTATTATTGATGTTTTATTTAAAAAGTCTAGATATATTGAATTGAGGTTATCTGTCTTATCTGTCAAAAGGGAAATAGAAACAATTAGCGAATTTTAGATGTTCTGAAACAATCTGGGGAAAAGCCGCACTCTGTTGCAGGTGCAATTTGTGTAGGGCACAAGTGCTTTAAAGAAATCAGTGGACTCTAATTTGTTTTTTTTCTAAACTATCTTGGGCAAATGGTCGTTTCTGCCGTTGGTACAACAATGTCCTGCAGTGTTTGTGGTACCACATGAATTGTTGGTTTTAGATAATATTAAAAGATGGAAAAATAACAATTTAATGTTGTTGAGCTTGTATGACTAACAGGTAATATGCAGGAGGGTGACTGTGGTTTGCTACCTTCTGCGGCAGGGATTCAGTGAGATGTGGGATATAGGATGAGAATGGATGGCCGTTACTAAAAAGTGATACTAATAAGATTGAAAAATCATTTTCTGATACTAATAAGATTGAAAAATCATTTCTGGCTCAATATTGTTTTGTTTCTGGAGTATTTATTTGTTTTTTATATTGTGCTTGACATAGCACAACACTTGTTGTACATGTTTATTCGAATTTGCATTGGAAAATTTACTGAGTTGTAGTTTTCCTACTCAGCAGTGGTTTTGTTTGCAGCTGAGAGAGAGAGAGAGAGGAGGAGGGAGGGACACACAAAATCAAGAAAAAAAACTCAATTTCCCAAGAATTACACACCTTGTAGGCTTATAGACAAATCTTGTACCACGAGTAGATCCACACTGAATGAGATTGGGAAAATGAAAATCGAATCAGAAAATGAATGTAAATAGTCTTTCTTATTATTGGTCTTGCTTGAATAGAAAATATTCAATTGAATAGAATAAAAAACAAGTCTTTTTTCAAATCAGATATGATTTATCTAGAATTCGTTTGAATAAAAAAAGGCCCGGTACCAATGTATCCCAAATTATTTTTTTGGGGGTAAATGAAGAGATAGTAGGTTGAGATCTGCGTATTTAATTTGTGGCGATTAGCATTTGTTTGAAAATAAGTAGGGAATAATAACAATAATATGAGAAAGGATGATGAGACAATGTCAACTTAATTGGCATAATATATATGAAGAGTTGCAACAACGACCCAAAAATGAACTACAACAATTGCCACAGAAGTTGTGTAATAAGGTTTTTATGGTTCAAGTTATTTTCTTAACAAGCATTGTACAAATTGCCAATGGATTACAATGCTCATTACAAGTGATGACAAATTTTCACTATATTTTTAGACTAAATTTGAGTCCGCCGTGCGTGCACGGCGTGACCCAACTAGTATATATATATATATATGTAATGATGTCTTAATTTTTAAGAGAAATATTTTTAGATGTTTTGAACTATTTTTGGATGTTTTAGGAGATAGTCAGTTGATATCTCATATGATAATAAGTTTATATTTGTGTCGTTTTGAACTTTTTTATTTTGTGTCGCACGATCTGTAACAAACTTCTTGACAAGAAGCAATGTTGTTAGTTTCCTTAACGGTATTGTCTTGAACATTTTGGTTGATGCCTTGATGGTGAATGTTTTTCAATGTTTATCCATGCTAATCTGAATATTTCATTGTTCTTAGTATGCATATTTTTTTTTTTTTGGAAGTATGTATAAGGTTTATATTTTTGTAGTATATATGGTTTAAGTTAGTTAGTTGATTCGTCGTACAATGAATTATATATGTCGTTTATAATATGTCACATAAACAGAAACAATTTTTTGAAAAGATCGTACCAATATGTACATTAGCTTTCAAGATGAAGACAACTACAAAATATATTAAAGATAAACTTGAGATAAACCATTTATAATGGTTGTATTGTTGTGGTGGATGAACACTTAAATTTCGAAAATGGGGTCAGTCAATAATTCCTATCTCAATGTGCAATGCAGAAATTTTTAGATTTTATCACATGGTGAATTTTATATTAACTTCATATGATTTAATTCTTGATTATATGGCTTTTAATGAAATAGCCATTCGTATTTTAATTTTGTTTATATTTAGTTTATGTCATCTATATCTATATATATACAAAAAGGTTGTTGGAAAAATACATTAATAGAAAATTTGACCAAATAAATATAATGTTTGACTTACTACTAATGGAAAGTTCGAAAATATAAATGTGAATCTTTAGTAACAAAATCTGAATACTATTTTTTTGGTAACAAATTTGGAGATTCTTATGGCAAAATTTGAATCTTATTTTTTTTGTATCATAATTTTTATTTTTTTTACCAAAATTTAAATCATATCTTTTCTAGTAACAAATTTGGAGATTTTTATGCAAAAATTGTGTCAATTATTTATGAAAATAATTCTAAATACAAATTAATTTAAAAACCATGCAAATTGGATACAAATTTAGGAAAAAAATAGTTGTATAATTCTTACCCAATTCTTCAAATCTTATTGTATAATTTCTTCTTCCAAAAAAAGTGTGTAAATTAGATAAAACCACATGTAATTTTTATTTTAAAATAAAACTGATATTTGGACGGGATGTACATTCAAAATTGTGTTCATATTTTTTGGTAACAAAAGCGGTTTATTTTTTATATTTAAAGTCACCTAATTCAATTATTTAGAAAATATTGTGTGCATCTTTTCAAAATTTAAATACATCGATTTTTTTGGATTCTTATTGTTTTCTTAACCATGTTTTACCGATATTTGGTAAGTTAATATCATTTTTTTATTCGGTTAAGTTCATATCATTTTCTTTAAGAAAGAAACAGTTGCATAAACGTTAACAAATTATTTTAATTTTTTATTAAAATTATTTTCAATTCAATTTGTTTGGTAAAAAATCGGTGCAATGTTAGAAAAATTTGGTTGCATTTTTAGGAAAAATTGATGATTTTTTTTTTATTTGGATTAATTTGTTTGATGAAAAAAATCAGTTTATTGGTAGGAAAATCGGTATCATTTTCAGGAATAACTAATGATTCTTTTCAATTTTTCTTATTTGAAATTTATAATTAGATTTAAAATAAATAATGGGTGAAAATCCCTAAAAATTTCTACTTTTCTACTATAATTTTGTTTAATAAAAAAGATCCTTTAATTTTTTTTAAAATTTGTTAATTAATAATATGCAATTTTAGATAAAATTCGAACACCTATGTAGTACTTTACGCGCCAAAGAATCAAACCAATAATGTTGTACATAAAGAAGTGTTTAATAACACATAAATTTCATTTTCAACATATTTTTAATGCCATGAGACAATTTAAATACAAAAATACCTTTTAAAAGCAAATAGGTAATAAATGCTCCCGTGCATCGCACAGGTACCGTACTAGTATATATAAATTGGTCTTAGAAAATAAATTACATTCACTATAAATTTCCAACTTACGTCATGCATATAAATAGCATTAAAAAAATTATGTAAGTAGGTAAAACTATGGTTCATGGAACTAGGAAACATATACACCAAGAAACATGAGGACCTCTATGTTGTACTTGTACCCCAAATTTACTGATCACAAAGTTCTCAAAAAAGACATGGCCCAAATGCGAACCGAAGCCCAAAAAGAATAGGAAACCAGGTCCATGACGCAACACCTTCTCCACAGTCGGCCTGGAGGTATTAGATTAGGGTTGTCGATCAACCGATCAGCCTATCGATCACCCACAGAAGCTTCGCGAGGAAGATTAGCGATCACTGTTATCGTCTGAACCAAAACTGACAAAGCAAATGGTACCGCCCAAGCTGTGTCATGTACTTCTGCATGAAAACATGAGACACCATCCTAAGCCTAACCGGTACTCCACATTTAATGCGCAATCACTTTTTCTTTGTATAAATACTGACCTTTGGGTCCAAAAGAGACAATCAATTAGGCAATCGATCAAACAATTGATATATACCATATACATATAAATATTGATCTTTCGAGATCATACACTACAAACATTCGGTTGTATTCATACAATCGTTCAATAAAAACTATGGAAAACAATCTCCTTGTCGATTGCCATAGTCAATCGCCAACATCAGTGTCCTGCTCCTGTTATTTACTTCATTACAATCTTTTCATATTGTGTATCTCTAAAACATACAATAATTATACTGTAACTCCCGCTTAAATCGCTCTAAACACATTTATCGTAACCGCTGGCGATCCACCATCAACACATGATCTTGCACTAGTTTAATTATGTCTCGAAATTAAGAATATATTATTTATATCGCTTTAATATACTCAGCTTGACCTAATATTATAGTAGATTTTTTCCAAATTTATTTTTTCCTCTCACTATATTTAATTTATTTAAAATTTCTGTAATTAATATCCATGTTGTCAAATATAAACGTTTCAGTTGGCCTTGTGGTAGACCAGTACCATTGGACCCAGTTACGCATTCTATAAATATTTTTGCTAGAAATTGTCATATATACTTTACAGAACAATATAAAAGTATGATATTTTTATAGTATAAATATTCATATCTCGTCCAAATAGTATGACAGATCGACCTATCTAACATTTCGACTATATTTCACAAAAATCTGTTTAAACGTTTTCATAAGCTGGGAAGTAATATTTTTTAAGAAATATATATAATTTTAAACCAAAATACCATATTCTGAAAAAAATATATAAATAATGAAATATTTTATTTTTTATTTAAAAATATAACATGAAGCAGCACATGCTTGCCACAATATAATTGATGGTACAGTGGGCCATTAAATATTGCCATTGTAGGATATATTTCTCCTACTTTCTGCTGACTGGGAATTTAATACTTTTTTTTGGAACAGTCAAACTTAATTTAACAAAATTATTTAAACACTATGGGACCCATTTATTTTGGCTCAGGTCTGAACTGCCCATGTGCCATGTGCCTTGATACTTTTTGATTAAAAACCAAAATAAACCATTTGTGGGTTTCCACTTTCCTCTTTGTCTGTTATATGCATAATTAGATTAAATGATTAAGCTACTATCTTAAGTTCTTGGGCTACCTGTGGACTAACTAAGGCTATATTTAATGATTATGTCTATCTTAGCTTTTGTGACCACGAAGTTATATATGTTCTTTTAGGATCATAATAATTTTCGACCTAATCATTAATTGAATAATTCAGGAACAGCACTGAAAGCTATTATTTTCGTAAATGAAATTACGTATGTGCGGGTGACAATTATTGCTCTGTTTGTACCTATTTCAATTAGAATTTTGAAATTATATTCAATCTGATTTACATATAAACTATTTAATTTCATGAAATAGATTTTTGAACAAATCCTAATATCATGGTTTGTCAATCCCTAGGAGATGTCACCTTCTGAATTTAAAGATGTCACATTTTTTTTTTCTGCCCTAATATTTCATTTATTTTATTCAATTATATATCTATTTTTATTTTTCCGGTATAAATCCTTGTTATTGCAACATGTGCAAGTGCTTAAAGCTTACATAGGGTTGGTAACTTTTATTGTGCACATCAAGTAACTATATATAGAAACGGACAGCTGCATTCAAAACGGTCTCCTTCTCTTGCCCAAAGTTTCATGCTATTTCAAGTGTTTAAGGTGTGAGTGATTCCTAAATTATTCCAAGGTACATCATTTTTTCTTTCGGAGTAGTAAATAATAAATAATAATATAGGGATTGAAAAAAAAATAAAAATGGCATACTTAATATTTTTTGAATTATATATATAAACCTAATCCTTATGTGGTGAATTTCACCTTACCGATGTTGGAATGTCAGTGATATCTGATTGTGTAAAACACTAGAAAATTCGAAAGGACAAAAAAAAAAGGATGATAATTTAAAAATTAATAAATAAATAATAACTGAGAAAGCAAGTTGTGAGTTAGTGAGGGTCACATGGTGCATGTGTTTTCTGGTGCTTGGAGACCCAAACCAATTCAATGCATTGTCGCCTGATATATTTCTCTATTTGCAATTGTGTGCTGTGTGTCATTTATCTAACTTTAAACTAATTAGTAAAATTTTGAAACAAATAAAGAAATAACATTTTAATCCTTGCAATATTATGTAATCCACCATTAATTTTTCCAAACCTCTAGTAGAATATTATCAATTTCACGTCCTCAAAGCTCCGAAAAATCAAAACGAGATATTTACAAAAATAGAATACACATGCGAATAGTGTCAATATATTTTTTTTTTGACAATTGAAAATTTATATTTTTTTAAGAAGAATAAAATATCTCAATCATCCATGCCATTTCATTTTCTCAAAGCTTTTGTACCCAATCTAGTCATGAAATCCATAATCAATCGACATCGAATAAACCTTCCTCAATGTCTGACGTACAAAGACATGTCTACAACAAGCACGGTAAGACAAATTTACTAAAGGATGACCTCACAAAAAAGAAAAAGAATAAAATCTCTAGTGACAAAAACGATGGCTTATTATTGTTCTCCTTAATTAAAGAAATATGAATATTTCCTTAGTTCAAACTTCAAAGTATTTATATATATACTCTAGAGAGAAGATGAAGTACGTAAAAATGTAATAACTAACAAACCCAACTTCCCATGAATCTATTTCTTCTGCAACCTGTTAGGTAGTGACAAATAGAAAGTGAATTCGTAAAATAAAAAAATAAAAATAAAAAAAGATAATAGATAAAATAGTACTACTAACCAATTAATAATTTCATGTAGCGACGAGCCTTTTGTAAAATTCTGGCATGCATGTGCCAAGGTTCAATTTAAAATCTCATTCCGAAATTTGCTCCAAAAAGGACACTACATCAACCAATTACCATAAATATATATATATAAGTAGTATAAAATACAAATTGTAATATGAAACGACTAAAACATTAGGCATGTTGGATTATTATACTTTTACAATAAAAATATATGTTAGCATTATAAATATTATATTTTTATTTACATTTAAATATATTTTGTTAGAAAATGACATTTTATTACACAAATATGTTAATTGATAACGAAATCATATAGCTATATAATAATTAGACCTATATATATAACAACAACCGGATACTTTATTATTAGTATTATGCAGTTGCTGTTGCTCAAACAAACCCGTAAAACTTCTATTAAGTAGGTCTAACAACTATACAATCATACTTTTTCTTGCTTAATAGTTAAGCTGCTATGTGCAAACAAAAATAGCTTCATTTCATACCCAGTTCATCAATCAAAATATACGACGGGTCATTTTCATTCTCCACTTGTTTTTGTAGATTATGATGAGATATGGCAGTAAAATATAAAATTATTTTTCTTAACTGATCCCACAATTTCACATCCAGAAGCGCCTGGGCTATCATATCTGTAATCATCACAAACTATTACTTACAATATCTGTGTATTATTTATTTAGACAGTTGATTTTTTAATTTTTCTCTTTTCTGAATTTTTAGAATTAGCTGTTGATCAACAAAGACTACTTTAG